CTGAACGTCAAGCTGACCCGGAGAGTGCAGAAGGCAGCTCGGAGACAGGCCAAACAGGAGGAGCTGAAGCGGCTCCACCGGGCCCAGATTATCCAACCGCAGCTGGAGCAGGTAGAGGAGAAGCAGAAGCAGCTGGAGGAGAGAGGTGTCGCGGTGGAAAAGGCGCTGCGCGGTGAAGCAGCAGGCATGGGCAAGAAGGACGACCCCAAGCTGATGCAGGAGTGGTTCAAGCTAGTGCAAGAGAAAAATGCCATGGTGCGCTACGAGTCAGAGCTGATGATCTTTGCCCGGGAGCTGGAACTGGAAGACAGGCAGAGCCGACTGCAGCAAGAACTGCGGGAGCGGATGGCAGTGGAAGATCACTTGAAGACAGAGGGGGAGTTGTCAGAGAAGAAGATCCTGAATGAGATGCTGGAGGTGGTGGAACAAAGAGACTCCCTGGTGGCCCTGCTGGAGGAGCAGCGGCTCTGAGAGAAAGAGGAGGACAAGGATCTGGAGGCGGTCATGCTGTCCAAGGGCTTCAGCCTCAACTGGTCCTGAGTGCCCACCCACCTCCAACTGGTCGGTCTGTCGCCATCCATCTGACCTGGGCTGGGTCTGCCAAGCCGTGGGGATTCCACATCGGAAAAGGCCTGGCACTTCCCAGGAGTTCGCTAGCACAGGACCACGTGCCTCTTGAGAAGCAGGGCCGAGTCTCACAGCAGCTGGGACGTCCCAAGTGCAGATGAGCCTTACTTGGAGCGTTAAGTAAGGAGACAGAGCTCCTCGCTTGACTTCCACCAGAAGAGGCGTGCTGGAGTGGGTGACGGCCACCACGCAGAGACCCGCACGCTCCCGGAGGACCGGTAAGAGGAGCAGGAGCCGCATTGTTGCTGAAGCGCCACCAAAGAAATGGAACCACCCTCACCTGAGTGGAGACCAGGGCATGGGCCTGGGTGCCCAGGGCAGCCCCAGCACAGCATCAACAGGCAAGCTGAGCGCCCAGGGCTCCAAGGAGGGATCCACACCCCATCCTGCCCCACACCACACACTGGACCCCACGTGGCCAGGTGCACCAAGCGTCTGTTCGGTGACAACCTGTGAGACCTGCGGATTGCTGCATTTTGCTTTTAATTCACATCATTTCGACACTGGAAAATACTCACTTTAGGGAGCGGCCAGACTAAGGGTGTCTTGTTTCGAGCCCCAGCTTGACAGACAGGTGACGTCACTACGCGTGCTTCACGTCGGGGCAGGGGATTCTCTTGGCGTTTTTCCTGTTTTTGCACCTTGAAATGAAGCTGATGGCCTGGCGAGATCCTCTGCCGCTTTGGACCCTTTTTATCAATTAACTTATTTTTGTAATACTTGAAAAGAAGCAATTTCATTTTTATATCTTTACTAGAGACACTGATAACCGGGCCCCTGGTTGTATTCCCTGTTACATCATTGCATCCTGGCCCCAGACTGAGCTGAGGCCCGGGCCTCTATTTATTGGTCTTAATAGTGTTACTGACCCAGTGGGCCTGAGACGCATCACGAAAAAATAAATAAATAAAGGGACACAAAGAAAGAAGCAATATAAAGAGTCAGGCAATGATGTTGTTGTTATTGTTGTTGCTCTTGTTGCTAGAAGCCATCCAGACAACTAAGACTCCCAGCCACTCTGTGAACAACACAGAGTGTTGGGCAAGAACCTTGCCCTATTCCCCACTTGCCTCACAATCTCTGAGATGCTCATCGTTACAGTCACTGTGTCAATATGCCTCAGTGAGGGTCTTCCTCTCTTTCTCTGACCCTCCCTCCACCTTTCTCAACATGATGTGCTTTCCCCCTCCTAACAACAATGTCCAAAGTACATGAGACAGTTTCACGATCCTTGCCTCTGAAGAGCACCCTAGTTGCACTGTCTCCAAGACAAACTCGTTTCTCCTTTTTGACTTCCCATGGGATATTCAGTACTCTTCTCCAACACCACACAGACACATGGAGAAAGAGACAGACTCAATTGCCCAGAAACTCATACCCATAGAGATATAAACATACATGAAGCGAGGGATGGATAAGCAGACCTATATATACTGAGAAATCTACACATCTTTGCATGCAGAGAAAGAGAGGGAGGCAGAAATACTAACAAGAGCCAAGCCCAAGGGTCATGGGAGTTGATTTTTCAATCCAAACATGTCAGAATTTTTTTTTTTCATTTCATTATTTTGTGTGTACTGTCAAATCGGATCTGACTGGTACAGGAGGAGATTGACCCTCCTTTTCCAGCAGAGCATCTGGTGAATTTGAACCTTGTATCTCTGAGATTGCAGTGTAGCTTCTTGCCACTAGGCCACAAGAGCTCCCTACAAGTCAGGATTTTAAGGAACCACAGGATTCTCCACTCTGAGCTATATGGGTCAGCTTGGCTCAGAAGGAAAGGACGGGAGGGGGAGGTTGAGCAGGAAGAAAAGTGCAACAATGAATGAATGAAAATCCAAAGTCTGTAAACTTTCATTTAAATTAATAATTTAAAGAGAAAAATAAAGTGACCAAGTGTGAAACAAAAAAAATCTAAAATAAAAATAAACATTAAAAAAAAACAAACAAGAAAGTAGGCACATAGATGAGACGTGAGTTCTGGCCAGTAGAAAGTGTTTTAAGTGGAGAAAGGGGCGAAATACCCTTTCCTTAAGGAGATGAGATTTCTGTTCAGCATGAACAACCAGTGAGTGAGAAAATGAGTTCCCCTTCTGCTCTTAGAAGAATCTTAGAAGAATCACAGCACCACTGGACAGTTGTTGCACCCTGCTACACTCTGTCTGAACCTACTGCTCCTGGTCTCATGGGGTCTGGCCCTCCATTCAACCTGCTCCCTTATTGTATGTTCCTCTGCCCTGTAGACCTGTGTGTGACCCCTTCCTCTCATTTCCCTCCCAAGAGCATCCTACAGCCAGGCTATGTGAGCCATCGCCTCTGCCTCCCTCTACCCTCTCTCAGGAAATTCAGAGCCCATAGAAGGAATCTGAGGCAGAAGAAGTTGTTGAATTCAATGACCTTTCAAAAACAGCCTTCAGTGTCTCCCTTCCTCCTCCGCCTCCTCTGGTTCTGAAGGAAAGACCATGAGGTGACATTTACTCTTGGCCATCTGCTGGCCTCTGTGTCAAGTCCTCATGAATTATCTTCCATCATTTCATTCTTTTGTTATTCTCAATTCAGATGAGGAGGCTGAGGTTTGGGGAAAGAGGATGATCACTCCTGGTTGGTTCACTCAGCTAAAGAGCTGGCCTTGGACTCATTAAGTTCATTACTACACCTGAAGGTCATCTGCTACCTCCTGGCATGCATTAGAGCAGAAGGACTTAAAGTGTGCTGGGAGGGACAGGACAGTATGGAGCGAGGTGGGAGGGAACCCCAAAATGGGAAGGGGTGGAATTAAACTAAAACCACATTCCTCTCCCAGGATTTACCCTTCCTCCCCACAGGGCCTGGGAAGGGGACACTCCCTCTGGCTCAGGTCCCTCCAGCATTCCAGACACACCTCCGGGGACAGAGAGGAGGTGGGGAACTGAGGTGAAACTGCTTCTCCTAACCGCATATTCCCAAGCAGAACCCACCCACCCTCTCTCTAGACCACTATCTTCATTGTGTGTGAAGCAACTGGGAAATAAGAATCTAGTCTCCAAAAATCAGATTCAAGGTTCCCTGGTTCCCATGGGGTTAAATTCTTCTGGGAGGGGGTAAGACCTGAGTAGAGGCCACCTCCTCTTTTATTCCCAGTGAAACTTGAGGAGGATCCGGTAAGGAAGAGAAAGTGAGAAGGAGGCACGTGATTTTCTGCTGAGCTTCCTGGACTCAGGTGAGTCCAGCTCCCTTGGTCGTTTGAGGCCCAGGGAGTAAGTCCTGCCCTACTGAAGATGCTCTCAACTGAAGAAATGAGGACAGCAGTGAATGTCCCTGGGTTTTCCTGGGCTCAGGTAATTGACCATAGTCAATAGTGGAAGAGCAAGGAAGAGCAGAGTAGATTTCGGGTTAGGACCATCTCCTGAGGGTCAGGAGGGCCATAGAAAACAGCCCTACTTCCAGGAGGCCTTTCAGAAAGAGCCTGTGCTTACTGTGGTCTTATTGAAGCAGGCTGGATGTTAAGGGAGCTGTGATCAAGGTCTAGGTTAAGACCTTGAAACCTGAACTGCAGATGGTAGAGAGTAATATAGGTCCTTTGTCTTTTGGGATCAGGACGATGACGTCACACGTTATGCTGGTAGAACCCAGGAAGATGGATGTTTAGGGGAGAGTTTAGGGTCCCTGAGCTCAGTGTGAGGGGCTTGAAGAGGCTGTCTGATCTCTGTGTGACCCTAGTCCTCCAAGTCAGGACTAGAGTATTGCCCCGCCCCCAGGCACCCTGGTCAGGTTAATAAAACCCAGTAGTGCAGCCTGGGTGTCTGTGGCCAGATTTACCCAAAATTCCTCATCTGGCCCCAAAGAAGTCTCCCAAAGAGTAAGTAGAGATACTGCACGACTGGCAATGAGACATACATTTTATTATTTTTTTACAAAAGACAAGAGTATATATTGGGTAAAGGATTACAGGATACTTCGGTGGCAAAGTCTCTCAATCCCCACCTCTAAGACTGTATGTAACTACTATATATTTACTATATATATTTGATATTTTTTTAAAAAAGCAAACATGAAACTTATGAGCGTCACCTTCGTCCTTCCTCAGCCTTCCCCCATGGCTAGAATTCTGTTCCTTGTCCTGAACATTTGGACGCGCACACACACACACACACACACACACACACACACACCTGTTACCCATTCTCTCACAGGGATGTGCTGGCCCTGCTCCCTGTCCAACTACAGCTCAAGGTCAGTGGCCTGAGATCCCATACGGGCAGAGCACAGAGGAAAATCCTTAAGGGGACTGTCCAGCGAGGTGGGGGTAGGGAGCTCATGGGGGGGCATTGAGGGAGTGGCCCCATACAGTCAGTGGATGCTCAAGGAGGGGGCCGTGGAGTGGCCATGCACCCTCAGACCTGTTCTTTTTGCTTTACTGGGGACAGCTTCACATTCTCCTCCTCGGTGGAAGGCGGGGGCTCCTCCACATGGCAGCCAATCATGAGCTGGTACACGAAGACGCCAGCAATGGAGCCCAGGAGTGGAGCGACAACGGGGACCCACCACCAGTGCTTGCCAGTCCTGGAGGGCAGAAAGACAGTCAGGGGTGGGCAGGGCAAGGCAGAGGGGCTGCAGGCGGGGATAGCGGACTGCACTCACGTGAAGACCTCAGTTCCCCAGCCAGCGATGGCAGTGAAGAGGCGGGGTCCAAAGTCTCGAGCGGGGTTGACAGCGTAGCCAGAGTTGAAGCCCATGGAGGTGCCGATGACTAGGACAACCAGGCCCACAGTGAAGGCCTCCAGGCCCCGGGGAACGGGGTTGTTGTAAGGGTCCACGATGGCCAGCACGCACACGATGAGGGAGGCCGTGCCGATGAACTGGGAGAACATAGAGGTGAGGGGTGGCACCCGCCTCCCCCTCCCCCTTGTACCTCCTTCTGTCCCCTGACTAGCTCATAAAGTCTACAGAAAGCAGGGGTATTGGAATTTGGTACTAGAATGCTCTGGGAAACAAAAAGGACTCTACCATGATTCTGAGCATGTGTTCCTACAGATGAGGAGACCCACTATAGGAGTTTCACTGTCCCCCAGCCAGCCCGTGAATAACCTGAGACAGCTTGGGCCTCCCTCCTCTCTTCCAATCACATGTCCACAGCCCATACCTGGTCGAAGAAGCCATTGACCATGTCCAAGTGTCCAGAGGGGTAGGTGGCAAAGATGCCAGCTGTGCCGTTGGGGCCCGAGACTATAAGCTCATTGTTGGCAAAGGCCCAGATTGCATCTGATGAGAGATCAGACTCATAGTGGGTGAGGGCAGAGGCCCCCTCTCCCCTCCCAGGGGTCGGGCACAGACAGGCACAATCACTTTTAAATTACTTTGAAGTCAGAAGAGGTGAGGTCGTGTGGGGTGGAGGGACCCAAGACGCCCTTGTTGCCCAACTTGTTTCTCTCCCTTAGGGCCCCCCACCTTGGGCTTATGCGTGAGAATGAGTGAGTCATGAGCCTGGGCAGGCCCTCATGTCTGTCAGTGAAAAGCCTGGTGCCAGGAACTCCAGAGGCAGAGGGGTGGGGGCAGTGTAAGAGGGCAAAGGGGAGATGCTTACCATAATACAGCCCAAAAACGATCCCAGCGCCCAGGAAGGCACCCAGTGTCTGAGCCAAGGTGTAGATGGGAAGCTTGATCCAGGGTTCACGTGCCAGGAAGCACATGGCAAAGGTCACAGCAGGGTTCAGGTGTGCCCCTGGACACAAGGTAAACGGGACCTCAGCACAGCAGGGAGATCAGGGACACCTTCCTCCCTCTCTAGCCCCAGCAAGGTTCCGGAGAAGAATTCCTTTTACAAGATGATGGTTGGACTATGTAGCAAGCTAACAATCTCCAAGATGAGAATCAGACATGCTGTGCCAAGTTCCAAAATTTCCGCTCTCCACCCTTCTTTCCCAAAGACCCAAACTGAGTCCATGGTTATGTCCTGCTCTGGGGCATGCCTCTTTCATGCCCAATCCCCAGAAGGACATCTGGTGAAAATGCTATTGAGGGGTAAGATCTATGAGTGGGGATAAGGCCTTACCAGAAACCTGGCCAGCAATGAGGATGCCCAGTGTGACAGCGAAGCCGAAGGCCAAGTTGATGGTGAGGAAGCCTCCATGGGTTCCCCGGCTGAGCACCACCTGGGCCACAGAGCCACAGCCAAACATCTGCAACAGGAAACAGAGCAAGTGGGTGAGGGTGAGGCCCCGCAGTTCTCCGTCCATACTGGGAAACCAGTAACCTCTGCCTACGGCCGACCATCAGGAGGCCTGGAGGCCTTTTCTAGAATCCAGTCCAAACCCTCCCTGCTGCAATTGCACCCCCTAAATGGGGGCATGTCCTGCTCCTTCTGATGTTCCAACTCAGTCCTGTGGACTGAGAACTGGGGACCCGGACACCTGAATTCCCCAGCCTGCTCGTAACATGTCACCTGATGGACTCCCAGCAGGAAAAGCAGTTTTCTCCACCCAGACCTTCAGAGAGCTGGGAGGCTTTCACTCTGAACCTCATTTCCTCTCCATCTGAGCTGCCAGGGCCCCAAGAATGCGTCACCTCTGAGCATTCTCACGGCAGATCCTCCTTGACCTGTCCCTGTTAGGATGAGCCTCCTCTTCCAACCCACCCTGACCTTTCTGCTCTCAGCAGTCCAGAGTCTCCATTCAGATTTTAGATTCGCAAAGACTAGGATCTGAGCAACTCCCTTCCTTATTTGTGGTCCAGTGAGGAGACGGGTTTCAAATTTTCTGACACGGACAAGGGCTATAAGAGTAACTATGATGTACTAGTCAAATAAAATATAAAAATTCATATCATTTGATATAGAGCTGTCACCTCAAGTCCTTTGAGTGTTCCCCCAATGCTCCCATCCCTGCCCTGGGTCTCTTCTCCCACCTCCTCATAATCAGAGCTTTAAATAGCTTCTAGGACCCTGCCCTGGTGCTAAGGGCCCTAGTTCATTCCAATGGGTCAGGGTCCTGGCTTGCAAAGCATTGATTATCATCCCTCAAAAGGAGATAGTGGGAATGCCAGCGGTAGCAATGCAGGGCAAAGGTGTGCAGGCAGGTGAGAACAAAGATCAGCGATTGTGAGCATATGTGGAGGCGGGGGCACGCACGTGGGGGTCTGGGGCATCCTGCCCAGCCTGGCAGGCACTGACCTCAGCTCCTTTGCCTGCCTGAGGCCCGAACCTGGCTCCATCCCAGAAGGGCTTGGAGGGAGGAGCTGTCAGAGCCAGTTCCACCACCTTGGGGCTAATGTTCCTCTTCCTCGCCCCAGTCTTCTTGGTCAGTCACCCTCCCCCACCAAGAACCTCAGTAAAAACGGCCTCAAACACAGCCCTGATTCTGCCACATATTCTGCAAGCTATGGGAAACCGCACAGAGGTGGGCAGGCAGACCCTCACCCACTGCTCTGGATGGGGTCCCCCAGGCTGGGCCCCTCCTTTTCAGGCAGCCTTTGAGTTTCTGCTTTACACGGATACCTGACGCCTCACACACACCTGCACCAGAACGCCTTCTCCACAAACATGACACCCTCCTTTTGTGACCTAGGATAAGCCAAGTAATCTTGGGGTGTAGCGTGAGGACTGATTGCTCCTCTGGGGGGGGGAGAGATGAGCTGAGACAGAGCAGACCAAAGGAAGTCCCACCTAGAACACGAAAAACACTTTTCCCAGACCTCGCTGCTCTAAAACTATCGGACCCAGGCCTTGGGTGGGCAGTAGGGTACACAGGCCCAAGACAGGAGGGGGAGAAACACCTCAACTGCTATCCTGGCCCAGGAGAGGAAAGGGGACAAGGATGTGGGGACACTGGTCATGTGAGGAGCTGTGGGCAAAGCGCTCCATCTGCTTTACCCTCCTCTTCTTGCTTTCTACAGCCAGGGATCAGTCTCAGCCGTCCTGCCTCACCACTACTGCCACCACTTTGAGGTGAGGTACCCCCAGCCCCAAGATCCTGGGGTTGTTAAGGTTTCAACTGGGGACCAAAATGTTGGCAGTTTGAACCCATTTGACTCCAAGAAAACAAGATCTGGCAATCTTCCTATCGGGCTATTTGATAACATCTTACAGCAACAAACCCCGAAGCCTTACTAAGCCAAGGTGAAAACTCCTAGCCCGCTGGGGCCTGTCTAGTGTGTACTGCCCAGGGCTGGGCCTGCGAAAGAGCAGAGCAACCCAACTACTTGAAGCAATGCAGAGACAGAAACTAGAAGCAGGTGTAACCACCTGAGTGACTAAAAATCAGAGAGGAAATGGAAATCTTATGTCTGCCAGACCCCAGAACAGAGTCACCCAGGAACAACCCAGGACTGAACCTGGTGTAACCAAAGAAGTAGCTGGGACTGAGGAGTAGCACAGAGGGGGCAAGTTATCCGACTTGGAGTCACTGACAGGGAGTAACTGAGAGGCTGGGGGTGGGGGGGTGGGCTCCAATGACCTCTGCAGCGAAGCAGACAGCAGTTGCCTGGGGGGAACTAATAGGGAAGCAATGTTAGGACATGTCCTCTGCTCTGAGCCCTCATGCCATCCCACAGCCTCCCGTTTTTTAGGGTCTTCTACCTTCCTGCCTTACTGTTGGAGTCTGCTTGGCATCCACCCTCTGCCTCTGCCTGTGGCAAACTGTCCTCACCTCACTGCAACTTTTGGACTTTCAAAAGCTTAGTTATTCATTAGACCCCAGACACTCCGAACCCAAATAACCCAAAAAGGGCTCAATTGCCTCTGCCCTCCTGCTCCAGCCCTGGGACCCTGGAGTGGAGTGGGGGAGCTGCGAGAGGCAGAAGCAGGGGCAGGAGGTCCCACACTTGCAGGGAGGGAGAGTAAGGGAATCAGGCTGTCACTTCTCAGTTACAGCTGCCATCCTAGCAAGTCAGTGCCTCATAGATGGACTTAGTGTTCTACAAGTGGTGAGGGAGTCAAGCCTGGAGTTCAGACTTAAGAGAGGAGAGCAGGGCCAGACACAGCCCCTGGGGTGGAGGGACAGGGGGTGAGAGAGGGTGGGTCTGGAGAGACATAGTGGACTCTCTGCACTTACCACCAGGATGAGGGTTCCCAGGCACTCGGCAAGGGCCTGGCGCAGCAGCCGGTAGCGGATGTGGAGTGCCTTCCCGCAGCGGGACACCAGCTCCTTCTGTCGACCCATGGCAAAGCCACTAGGCAACGGCTCTTTGTGGCGGGAAGGACAGGCTGGAAGCGAGCAGTGACAGAGAGCAACGGGTGGCGCCCTTTATAGGAGAAGCAGAGATAGCCCCGCCCGTCTCGCCCCAGGCGGCCCGGCCCCTCACCGGGCCAGGGAGGCTGGGGTGGGGGGAGGGGAGTACGAGGTGAACTGGACTGGAGTGACCCTGGAGGGCATTGAGGAGAAGTGAATGTCACTGGGGCTCAGAGGATCTTGGGGCGCAGGATTATAGTTGGAGAGAGGGGAGCTGCCAAAGTGGGGGACCCTTTGGCATAGTCAGTGAACATGTGGTCATCCCGCCATAGGGGAAGGTGATAGGGAGAGACAAGCCAGGGAGGACAGGTACTGGCGCCATCTCTTAAGATGACTGGCCCACACATGCCTGCATCTGGGGACTAGGAATAAGGAGGCTGTGAGCCCCAAGATCTCACAATCCAGCCTAGGGGTCCCCACACACATAGGCTACACAAGGCAGTCAGAACCCACCAGCTCTTGCTCCTTGTGCTGTGAGAACATGTCATGAGCTGCCTGTCCTCAGGAGCTACAGCCACAGCTGGGTTTATACATGGCACGTGTCCTGTGTGCCTGGTGGTGCTTGGTGGGCATCCCCCGCCCTCGGGCTCTGCACAGTCCATGCGAACTGAGCTTATTACACGTGTACCTGTATGCACTTTCACATGACTCGAGAGGCTGAACCGCAGTTGTCTTGACATGCCATATGCCACATGCTTGCCAGCAGGGTGAGTCCCAGATGTTTTTAAGCCTTTCCTCTTCCCCCCTCTGGCTGATCCGTGGCCAGCAGAGAGTCTGTGCCTTTCAGAGTTTAAGCTGCCTAAACTGTGGCTTGGCCTCTTTTGAAGGAAGTCATGGACAACCCTGTCCCTCAACATCAAGGGAAACTGAGGCCTGGGAGCCTGAGTTTTGCTGTCACAGGACTGGAACGAGCATGCCCTCACCTCAGATCTCTTAAAGTAGTGTTGCCAAGGAAGACAGAGAAGAAAAAAATTTTCTAGAAGGATTTAATGTAGATGGGTTAAGGATCCCAGGACTTGTCTGGGGTTGAAATCTAACTATCAGACATGAGTCAGGCCCAAATGATGGGGTATTAGCAACTCAGAAGGTGCAAATTATTAATTCGCTCAGTTGTTAACTGAAAGGTTGGAGGTTCAAACCCCCTAGAGGCTCCTCAGAAGAAAGTCTGGTGACCTACTTCTGAAAAACCTGCCATTGAAAAGCGTCAGAAGCATAGCCCTGCTCTTAACACTAACACACAAGGCTCATGCATCGAGTGGACTGCTGGGCCTGTCAGCACTCAAAGAATAGCACACATGCACACGTCTTACCCTCAACCTTGCAGCCACACACACATCAGATACTGAGCTCTGTTCATGTGCTCATGAAGTCTCTTTCACACAAGAGCCTGGCATAGGGTCACAAGTACCTGGAACCCACACAAGGCCTCACATGGCCTTTCGCCCAGGAAGCTGCACCCCACCCCACCAGGCCCCCACGGGCTGGGAGGCCCCCTGGTGAATCAGGAAACCATCACCAGCCTTCCCACTTGCTTGACTGCCAGCCTATGACTCAAGCTAGCACTCTGGCCACCTGGTGCCAGAGCCCAGACTATAGAATGTGGTGTCAGAGGGCACCTGCCACTCAGCCTGCTCTTCTCCTTAGCCAGTGTGCACCCCTCAGTCCCTCACTTCCTCAGGACTTCCTGTAAGGTAGCGCAGGACTAGAACTAGCAAGGGATTCCTTACACGTCAAAGAAAACACAAAATCCAGCCCTCAGAGTCCCTTCGCACCCTCCCGTCCTGAGCCTGGAACCAGAAGAGAAAGCAGGCACACACGGGGCTCCTGCACACACACACGGGTTTGCATGTGTTCACATAGGTGTTCACACGTGCTATGCCAGGAGGCAGCAGACACATGTAATCAGATTTGCATATCTTGTCCACAATAGTCAACATAAGTTCACTCATGTGCGCCTACAAGTACTCACAGATGTTCATGCATGCTTATGCCTAGCTGTACTCCCAAAAGCTTTTATGACTCCTTCTAGGACCCAGCTTCTGGGTTCTGACTCTTTCTTTCTGCACAACTCACCCAGACTCATAGTGTACAAATGAGTTCACACACACACGTAGTGACAAAAACTAGAGCTAAGAAGGTATGAGTAGGTCTTACTGGTGTTGGAAAATAAGGAATTAAGCAGTGCCCCCCTGCCAACTCTCCTTGGGTCACCTGGACCGGACCAAGTTAGTCAGCCTCTGAGGATGCTAGCACAAAAGCGGCAGGCTGGCCTGAGCTGGGGGCACAAAAGCAGGTTATCATACATTCCAGGGACATCATCCTCATGCAGCTGCTGTGAGTGGTGCTCATTGGAGCAGAAGGCAGAAAAGTATGTGTTTTCACAGAGAAGAAAGTGAATTTGCTGAGGTCTTAACCCTGTGAGTCACAACAGATTACCCATAGCCTTCTAGACTCCCTCTTGCACTTTGGAGAAAACCAGGGCCCAACGTAGGCTGAGAGCCACCCTTCCTGCCAGGGAGGCCAGGCCTCAGGAGATGACCGGAAGGCCCTTCCCCTTCCCAGGGCATCTTGAGCAAGGTGTATAGCTCACCTGGGAGGGAAGGCTGAACAAGGAAAGGGGCCTGACAGCCCATCTACCCTGTGGGAGGCTGTGATGCCTTTTGAGGTCAGAGCTGGGGGAATGGGTTCCAGGAGAGGGAAGGGCTGAAGATGCAAGTCCTAGCCTGCTGGACCAGAGGGGCTGGCTGGGGCCCGGCAAGGAGTGGGGTGGCACGCCCTGCATTTCCTTCCCCCCAACTCTTTTTGCCTGAATGAGAGCACATTGAACCAGCAAAGAGACATAGATGCTGCTATCAGTAACTCAGTGGTGGGAGCTGTGGTCAGGGGGAGTAAAGACCCTCTTGGGAGTGAGGGAAGGGCAGAACAAACCAGACTTAGACACATTTAAAGCTTAGAAATTACTTCCTTCCACTTTATAAAGTACAGCAAACTCCGGAGGTGTTATGTTTCCCATTTCACAGATGACAAGTCTGAGGTTTGGAGGAAGGTCACCTGCTAAGTTCTCACTTAGTTATCCAGTACTGAGCTGGGGTTCACATCCACCCTCTGGGGAAGAGAGTGAAATGGACAGAGGTCAGGACTAAGTCTGAGGGGAGGCAGGAAGCCAGAGCACAAAAAGCAGCTTATTGAGTCCCTGAAGTTTGACCTCCTCTTTCCAGGGTGTGCCCCCACTTTTAGGTTGCTGCTGAACAGCACTCCTGCCTCCGGGCCTCGAGGGTTGGGGGCTGCCTCTGGACTGGAGTGGGGAATGGAGAGGAGAAATGAATCACTCTATTATGAGCATCTTCAGACCAGGGGGGCATGTTGCAGACCAAGGGTCCCAAAGAATGAAATAATTTTATAATTATTAATAATGAGACAGACAACCAGTAATGATATAGAACAGAGTGTGAAAAACAGGGGGCCAACAGTTCCCATGACTGAAGGCCCCAAGCCATGCTTCTCTAAATATTTATTTAGAATCATAAGGAGGGTAAACAAAGTAAAATCACAAGGAAGTACAAAGAAAAAATAAAGGATAATGGTGAAGTCATTTACAGATAAGGTCAAGTTCCTCTTTATGCTAATCACAAGAGGGAGAGATTCATTTGACACAAACCAAGAACAATGTTGACTCCTAGGGACACCCCAGTGCCACAAGGTGACCGTCAGCTTGTATTAAGCTCCCCTCATTTCCCGATACAGCATTTGGTCTACTATTATTAAATTTAATATTTGGCTTCCCTCATTTCCCCCTCTTTTGTTTAAATCATAATTTTGAGATCATCAAGATAAGAAAAATTTCTCTTCTTCAGGATTCATTCTTTCTTGTCTCTTAATCATTTACATATAATCAAACAAATGTAATCAAGAAAGCAAAATAAGCTCACAAAAATACTTCCAATAAAGCAGCATTCCCTGAGGATCAGCTTCCATTGTCATGTTGCCATAGTCCCCACCAAAACCAGTTCTGATTAATCTCCTTTGTCCATGCGTCCTTAGCCATTCCTTGTCACTCCACCCTGAGAGAGATTTCACCCTGATTAATAAGGAAAATGGGGCGGCGGACTCTCCTAGCTACTTCCTGCTGAAAAGGGACGCTGTAGGTTTCAGGGTGAAGATCTTCTCTCACTACTCTGAAGGGCCCTTTGGCAATAGGAAACACGTATACTGTTGAGGAGATTGAACGTGTATCCCTAAACACAATTGATAACAGTGCATCTAAATTCCAAAATCAATCTCCAGGACTTAAGAACAATAAATGATATAGTTGTGCCTCTACATCATGTGGTTCCTAGCCCTTTCACTATAATAGACAAAGTGCCAGCCAATAAGACTTTTATTTTAAGGATTATCTTCCCCCTGTAACTTGATTTGTGTCATTGTTAGAATCTCTAATTGGAATATTATTGCTTTTCACTGTTGACTCGTGTCTCCACTGGTTTTGGTGGGGACTATGGCAACATGACAATGGAAGCTAATCCTCAGGGAATGCTGCTTTATTGGAAGTATTTTTGTGAGCTTATTTTGCTTTCTCAAGAGGGAAAAATTTAATCAAATATATAACAATAATTTTGAACAATATAATCTTTTAAATTTAAGGATAGCAACATTATCAATATGATTGTACAAATAATTTCCAATCCAAAGAGATGCATATTCCAATACAGTTCCTATTTTTTGTAACTTATTTTGGTAAGAATGCTGTAAATGTGGATACAGTTCCACTATTCCTCCTTCATGTCATGAGATAGTTTTTTAGTATAAGTAGTTATAAATCAATTGCCTTCCTTACTCTAACTTAAAATTTTGATGTTTTTGTGCTGACGAGTGGAACCAACAAGGCTCCAATTAATGACGCTTCCATAGGAAGTATTAATTAAAACTCGTCTTTGCTCTATTTAACACTGTCTCCAATGTATCCATTCTCTAAGAAAGATAAAGGAAGCAACTGA